GAAAATCGGGGCGATTTCCGTTCGCAACTCGTGCCCTAGCTCGTACGTTCTCCTCTCCTGTGTGATTTTCCCTGCCATCCATTTCCCGTCGTTTTCTCTTTTCCTTTTCCCTAAAAGCCCTAAGTTCGGTCATTTCCTCCAGGTGGCGGCCGTCCTCGCCCACGCGTTCCACGGCTTCACGAATTAGTCCCAGATTTACTCCATTCTCGTCTTCCTGGACTCTCACGATTCCCGATCGAGATCCTTCCGCCGGCAGTTCCGCCGTCGCCGCCGCCGACAACAGACGCATCTGTTCCTCCAGCAATCGGCGCAAGTCTGAAACGTTTTGGCTCATCCCAGCCATATTCTGGTTAGCCTCAACTCTACTTTGACTTATTTCCGCCCTTACCTCGCCAATTTCCTTTTCCACCGACGTTTTTACTTGGTGAACCTCCCTCTCCACCGCCTCAAACCTCTTCTCTGTTTTCCTGGCAGCCATTATCGCCCAGAACAGGGCTCTGATACCAACGAAGGATATTATTGAAACAATGAGTACACACAGATCGGCAGAACTTCGAGGGTCTGCTTCCTCCCTTGCTTGGAATTGTTCCAAGACTTGTCCACTTCCTGTTTATTTCCCGATAACCGCTTTTCCCTCCTCTTTCCCCTTTTATACAATTTCCTCTCCTCACTCCCCAAACTCCCCCCGTAAGCTAAACTAATATTTCCACTAAACTATTAACACCAAACTACCACAGCCACTTAAGACAGCTGTCCCTTCCTAAACTCTTTTATTCCTCCTAACAAACACTTGCCTGAGTAAGGGCTTATCAACTTCTTGTGTTCATCATTGACCTCAACAACTTCGTTACTACCATTTTTACGAGAACTCCATATGAAGGACTCGCCAAATCTAAAGTGGCTGCAACACCATTCAATGAAAAGATTAATCAGTACAGATTGTTGCCTTCTTTACCTTGTCTTTCTGAATTAGATATATTTGACTGTCCAAAGCTCACTTGTATTCCGCTTTACCCACGTTTAAGACGAAGGCCTATTCCTCCATAAAACAAGCTTGAAGCCATTCGAACAGACAAATCTAATTCCCACAACATCTTCATTCTCTCCTCTCTCCCAATTGAAATGTCTTGCGTATTCATCAAATTAAGGATCTACAATGCTGTCTGGATATCGGGTCTTGGCATTCAACATCTTTCATCACTTCGAGATTTGAGTATTACTTACTGCGAGGAGTTAGAAGACATGATGCTCAATGGTGATGTGATTATGTGGAAATCCCTGAACAAAAGACTGCGCTCTCTAACGCTTCAAAGGTTTTCCAAAATTGGTGGCTGTTCCTGAGGGTATTCAACACCTTTCCAGCTTAGAAACACTCGAAGAGTTTATTCTTGACATAGTTTAACAACTATTTCAGGGTGGATCCGCAACCTTAAATCACTTAGGGCTTGTTCTTTTGAGTGAAAAACTCAAAAAAAGATAACTCGAGTTATAACTTTATTCGAATTCATGTTCTTTTAAGTTTAAACTCGAGTTTATGACTAAAATTAGAGTTCAAGTTTCCCCTTCAACTCGAGTTCAGAAACTCGAACTCAAATTAATGAACAGTATTTTTTCTATTCTTAAAAATGTTATAACTTTTTCGTTTTAATTCTGATTGAGATGATTTTTTTTTCTATGCGTTGACAATGAAAAGACGAATAAAACCCGACCCATATACCCTATTAAAATTTTTCATCAGCATTGAGTTTTTATTAAAATACTATCTAAATATAAATTAAAGTTTTGACTCACTCAAACACAAACTCAAAAAGATTCGTATCTCAAACCATAACTCAAATGTACACAACCAAACACAAACTCAAGTTACAAGTTCAACTCAAGTTATAACTCAAATTCAACTCAAGAATTATACTCAAGTTAAACTCTAAAAGAACAAGCCCAGGCTTCGTTCATTTCACCGATTCGAATTTTTAATTTTAGATTTTTACAATAAAAAACTCTAAAAAAAAGTCACATATAACTTTTTCTGTTACAGTGAAAAGCTCTAAAAAATATCACATCTCAACTCAAATTAAAAACTCGAATCCGGGAAGTAAACGAGGCAGACCTCGTTCGTTTCATCGATTCGAGTTTTCAATTCTAGGTTTCTACAGTTAAAAAGTTTTCAGAAAATGTCACATCTAACTTTTTCTATTATAGTTAAAAACTCTTAAAAAATGTCATATCTCAACTTAAATTGAAAATTTAAATCCGCGAAGCGTACGAGACAAATACTTCAGTTTTCCCATTGCCCCGATTTGACATCATTACCTGAAGGTATGCGAAGCCTCCCCTCTTTGGAGATACTTGCAATTCAATATTTGTCCAATCTCATTGAAGAGATGCCAAAGGCAAATAAGCGAGGATTGGCCTAAGATAGCTCATATCCAAACGTTGTACTTAGAAAACTCTACACACAATGTAGACAACCATACCATTATCGATTTCTATTGTTCCATTCAGAGGTTTTTCCCGTTTAAACAGCATCTAATTTAGACTTGACTTTGCAGAGTTAAGCCCGGAAATCATTCAAAAGCTACGGTCTGTGCAATGATGGAACAAATAAAGCATAAAGAGGTAAATATACATTCCATCTCTTCTTTCTCGTACAATTCTTCATTATGCTCTTATTTGCTAACCTCTCAACTAACACATAAACCACGAACTTTTCCCAGCCCTTCGTCAAGTAATTACTTAAATCTTTCTATTTTAACGACCTCATTTTAAGAACTATCTAGAGTCTGTTTGTTTTAAGGATTCTGAATGGTTCAAATTACAGTATTTTTCTCTTATAAAAAAATTAAATTTTAAAAGTCAAAATCATAAATTATTGTTTGAACTCATAAACCAAACGGACCCTTATTTTTCATAACGTTAAAATATAAGTGATGTTTACCGAATTAACAATGAACTACTAAATTAAATGGCATGGGATAAAGTGGGATGAGATTTGGGTTTAGAAGAATGTCAGTTTAATCTTGCATTATATATTAAAAAAATAATTATGCTTACCAAATCATCGACCCTTAGAAGACAAAATCCTCAAATTTGTCTAAATTCGCACTAATCATCACTTCCGCCTACTTGAGAAGTGACTACATATCGGAATAGTAATTTCACAAATAGTTTGATCTTAACGTGTAAAGTTCAAATCTATTTTTATCTTAAGTTAAAAAAAAAGACTTATTAGGATATTATCATAATACGTATCAAATTAAATGAATTTTTTTGAATGACAAAACGATGCCAAAAGGACCCATTTGTACATAGCCTTTCTTATTATTGCCCCAAAGAAAATACCGGAAGGAAAACCAAATATATGACCAGAAATAGTAAAAAATAGGCCAATATGAAAAGCTTAAGGAAGTATATAGGTCAATTTTTAATTATAAAAATTAATAGACCGTAACTTGTTAAGTTATGATTCATAACCAGATAAGTTATGGACAAACTTGTTAAGTTATGGTCCATAACCAGACAAGTTATGGACAAAAATCGTGATTTATGGACAATAACTTGTCAAGTTATGGTTCATAACTAGACAAGTTATGGACAAAAACAATAATTTAATCTATTTATTAACTTATGTAAACTATTGACCTATTAATTTTAATTCATCTCAAATTTTAATATATTTTTCTCTTTCTCCTATACATGACTAATAAAACTTTGGGGCAAATACCAAGAAGACTATAAATACTTTAATTGGGAGACAAGTCCCACTCTCGCTGGCTTAGGGCCTTTGGTTCCCTTGGAGGCCTCACAGATCTGCCATCACAGTTATGTGTTGCCATCATAACATAAATGTTACAAAGCAAATCTTAGCAATTTCTTTTGTAACATATTATTATTACATGTGTCATATGTAGTTTTCTGGCACAGGCTGTTCCACTTCCGTTTGGGAAATGTTATTTTCGCATGCATCAAATTGTAGAAAGTACTGAAAATAATTTTTTCCATTGACAAATTTTGAACTTGAAATCATGAATTAATGTTCAACTTTTTTTTTTTTGCTTTTTTTGTGAGAAGAGCGTTATTTTATGCATGGTTTAATTTTTTTAATTGTATTGCAAGACAATTTAATGAGGCAAGTTCCATAAAGGTATAATGTTCTACCATAATTACAGTTACAAAAACACATAATTAAAGCTCCAAACATAGGACCATATATAGAGTACTCCTCATTTACACAAACATGAGAAAGATATTATAGAAAAACAAGACATAACATTCTAATATTCAATCACATTTCTTAATCTCTACATGTTGATGATATAATTCTATAAAAATAGAGGAACCCAGGTTCGTAGTACTCTTTGACCAAAAACTACACACTCCCCACTTCCAAAGCTTCCTCATCCATGTATTTTCTTTACCTACAAAATCAGGAATATTGCTTCTTCTTTTGTTGAAAAAAAAAAAAAAAAAAAAAACCTGAAAAAAGAAAAATAAAATAAAATAAAATCCTAACTGCTAGTCTCAGTACAAAATATACATTATAGTATTCTCTAGATTGCAACTGCTACTTGACTATGACATTTTTGGTCTAAAATGATTGGTGTCCCAAAGAGATCACTAAACAGTATATTGGCACTTCCTATTCCTGTTTCCTAACAGGAGTTTGTAAAGATAAACAAAGTAATCTTCTGGGTTTCTCTTTAGGAGAGAATTAAAATTTGCTGAACCCAAGTAATTAAGAAATTATACACATGAAAACTAATAAAAATAAATTATTTTTAATGCATGGGAAATAATTTTAACTTACTTTTCTTCCCATGTTACTGCCCTTAGATTTAGGGTAATTGGGGTGTCCCCAAGAACTCTCTTTGTGAATCCATGGCTTCCCATGAGAGTGGTCAGGTGGAGGAATTGATGAGTGGGTCTCTGGCCCTCTATAATCAATCTCATAAACTTCATTGGAATCCAGCGCATCTGAATATTCCCCTATTCAAATTAAAAAAGCCAAAAAAAATAAGGAAAACCCCACCAAGAAAATATGGTTATTAACTGATCGTAATGACCATGTGGGAAGAAAAAAAAAAGTGCTAATAATGTGAGTTAAGAAAAACCAACCTCTTGAAAAGTATGGAGCAGCAAAGAGGAAGAGAAAAAAGATGGTGGTGAAGCAAGACTTGAGCTCCATTATTAGTATAAAACCCCAGAATCAGAAACTACCAAAAAACCAAAAAACAAAGTGAGATTTTCTTGAGAAACTAAAAGGAATTGGTCATTTATTTATATATAAGGGGAAGGTGAGAAGGGTTAAGGATGGTCACGGAAGAAGCACAAGGCAAAGGGGAAGTTTTTGAGGGATTTTTTTTTTTAAGGGATATGTGAAACCGTCACCATCCACACAGCAATAAGTTGTGAGGTACAGACGTGGATGTGTTGGGTTGGAGCATTAATGCTAGTGTTTACTACACCAGTTAAGTTTTATCTTAATATTTTTTTTACTATTTTTTTAAGATTTTATTTATTGTTATTTTCTTGAGTTTATTATAATTTTGTTTTTTTTTTTTTTTTCTGTTTCTGATTTTTCTTCATTTTATTTTGGTCCAAGACAGCTCCATGTGTTAATAATTGAAATGTTGTATTAAGGGAAGCCCCCATCAAGCTCCTTTGGCCAGCCGAGTCACATTACTCACACCTACTCTACTTTATTTTGTTTCTTTATGTCATTAAGCTCTTTAATTCTTTTGGCAAATAGCAAAATTCCCTTTATCTCCATGTTCTGCTTGCTCTCTTGCTTGTGTTAATCATTTGGAAATAGTTTATATGCATGTTACAAGTATCTAGACTTAGTTTCTGGTGAGAAACTGGAAATCAATTAATATTAGCATGCTTCCTAAAATAAATAAATAAATAATAATAACAATAATAATAATAATATTAATAATAATATTATTATTAATATTAATATTAATTTTAATTTTAATTTTAATTTTAATAATATTAATAATATTCTGAGCATACTCATTCACTATACACTAATACATGCTTATAAACCTAAGGGTTTAGCTCAAGTGGTAAAGATCTTGGGTTTTGAGGTATGCCCCCTTAAGTCGAAGGTTAGAATCCTTTGAGACTACGCCCCCTAGTGTAAAAAATTCATGACTTACTCTGACTTGTATAGAGAATCTTTCGAGGGCATGGCGAACAAGTCTTTTAAGAGTCTGTTTAGTACCTCAGTCTTGGCAAGGCTATGCTCTACCATTAAGCTATTTTTGCCAGCTACGGTAGTGGTGAAATACTACTGAGCAATTCACGTATCACTTGATACGGACGACTTCTGTTTTTCTGCCGGACCACATCCATGGGTCATTATACTCCGCGGATTAATGCGAAAGAAACGGGGAATTTTTTGACTTTCACATCCCACTACCAAATAGAGGAAAGGACCCCACTCTGCCATGGATGTTGCGGACAGTTTGGTTGATTATAAGCTTGGGAAGTCTTCCGAATCTGATGCCAGTGGCTTAGTCGAGCAAAACTCCCTCACAGCCAAAGAGGATCGGGGATGCTGGTGTGGAGAACCCGACAGATTGGATAGAGGCCGCGACATTTGAGTTGTAGAATTGGTCTGCTTATACAGGTTTGATTGCTACCGCCGAGCAGTTGTAAGAGTCTTATGGGTCTTCCAGTTCCGAGTCTAGTTTGTTGATTCGAGTTGAGATATAATTTTATGTGAGAGCTCTTTACTGTAGCAAAAAAGTTAGATGTGACTGTTTCTGAGACCTTTTTATTATAACAAAATTTAAATTTTAAACTCGAATTTGTGGAATGAACAGGGTCTAAATTAGATTGAGCTCACATGTTCCCTTTTTTTCTATCCCCTTTCCTATTCCTCCAATCTTAAGTGGATAAGAATCGATTCTCTTGATTGAGGTACATGCAAGCTGACTCGGGCACCCATTGATTAAAAACAAAAAAGTATAGCTATACTTACATGAACGTATATAAGCATGTTTTATATACTAATTGTTGTTCTTGTGTTCAGCAATTAATTATGGAGTCAAACAAATGAGTTAAGAAAATAATTCTATGAGCACAAGTATTAATGGTCAAATCTTGTGCACTTAATTAATATGAGTTGAGGAAATCTTGTGCATGTATAATTAACATGTAAAAATCCTAAGTCCTACCTAGGGAATTTTCTTAGCACAAGTTTCTTTTCAAAATCCTTCAATTCAACACATCAAGTACTGCCGGAAGAGTTCAAGGGGTTGTTTTTTTGCATTTCTAAGTTAAAGTGATTTGAGTGATAATTTTGAGTTTAATTTGAGTTAAAGTTGTAATTTGAGTTTGTGTTTAGATGTACACATTTGAGTTATGATTTGAATTGTGAATCTTTTTAAGTTTGTGTTTGGGTGAGTCAAAACTTAAATTTATATTTATATAGTATTTTAATAAAAACTCAATGGTGATGACAAATTTTAATAGGGTATATGAGTGAGGTTTTATTCGTCTTTTTGTTGTGAATGCATAGAAAAAAAATCATTTCAATTAAAATTAAAATAAAAAAGTTATGACATTTTTAAGAATAGAAAAAATATTATTCATTAAATTGAGTTTGAGTTTATGAACTCAAGTTGAAGGAAAAATTTGAATTCAACTTTAACCCCAAATCTGAATTTAAACTCAAATTTTATAAAAAAATATAAACTTAAATAAAATTATAACTCAGAGTTTAAATTTTTTTTGAGTTTTGTCGCAAAAGAACCGCTAAATATGCTGTCTCCAAATTGTTGTCCTAAAGGTTGTCCCCTCAATTAAATTGTGACACGTAATCAAACTATAACAAGCTGCAACTATTGTAAACCCAAAAAAGGGAGGTAGTTAACGAACATGGGAATTGTCACAGCTACGATCTATCAAATGCTCCCAAACCATGATTTAAGACTTGACCGTGATGAAGTGACTGCCGGCTATGTCGGTCATGGCTTTGGTTCCTTGCCGGTATAAAAGTGCCTAAACTTTGCAAAGCCTTAAGGGCGAGAGACGGATTTGCGTTCGATTTTAGTTTTTTTTGCTGCTTTCCACATTAGAGATATAAGAGAAAATCCTTGTTCAGTTTCACTTTGGGCTGCGATATTTAGGGAGCGTTTGGTAGAGAAATTCGTTCCCTAATTTAAATTATGATTTGTGGTTTGTTATAATATTTTTTCTCACAAAAAATACACATAAATTAAAAATAGTTCGAATCACATGGTTTAAATCCTCTAACTAAACGAACCCTTATTCTCGCGAGAAACTTCTCAAATTGCTGCTAATTTGATCATCATATTGAGACTGAGACATTGCAGTCGTCGCTTGGTTGTCAGCTCGAAGGCGGAGAGTGTTCTCAGCCCAAGAAAAAAAAAGAGAAAAATAGAAAGGTAAGAGAGTGAAGAGGATAGGGTTATGAAGACGGGGGGAGCTCAAATCAGAACGCTGGATTGAGCTTTGAAAAGAAGATTCATTAATGGCGGTTGTTTGTTCTTGACTTTTGATGTGAAACCCATTAATGGATTCTGTGAAGAGTTTGTTATGTATTCAACAAGTATAATCACGTTGGGTTATGTGTTATCTAGTTGTTAGCCTAGTCAGCATGTCGGGTTAATATCATTTGTTGAGACAAATAGACAATTAACACAAAAGGCCTTGTAACTGAGTCGATTGTGGGTGATTTTGAGAGAGAAAGTCTGTAGATTGGGATTTCTAGTGATGTATTTCTCAGGGTTTTATAAAGGATTGTTTCTCAATAATAGAACTTGTTTATTTTTTGTATTTATTTTTTATTTTAAATGATGATTCATAATTTTTTATACTGTTTTTTTATAAAAAAATATACATAAAATAAAAATAATTTTAAATTATAATTCTAAATTTATAAATCAAACATTTAGAGCCCGTTTGGTTAGAAGATTCGTTCTCTGATTCGAATCATGATTCATGATTTGTTACAGTATTTTCTCTCATAAAAAACACACGTAAATAAAAAATAATTTTAATTTCATGTTTCTAATTTATGAACTAAACGAGCTCACTAAGATTTCTTTAAAGAATTTTCTTCTTCGTGTTTCACTTTCTCAGATTGGATTTAGTTCTTGTTATTAACAGATTCTTTCTTAGATTTTCTTCTTCGGCAATACATTTCTTTGGTCATTGTGTATTAGAAAAAACTCACATAAATGATTTTAAAAATGATATTTGGTGTGATTCGTATATCTATACACATCAGAAAGAGTTTTTCCGAAGAATAGAACGTCTCAAAAAACAAAAGAAAAAAGGAAAGCCGATAGAAGAAAAATAAAAAACAAAAAAAAAATGTGAGAAGATGAAAAAGTAACCGAATGACAACAGTAAACATATGGAAAACGTCCGTTATCTAGCTCCGTTTATTGGGTTTCCAATATTTGCTGACCTGGAAAAGTTTGATGATGTGTCACAATTTGACAGGAAAGACAATAAGACAGCAATTTAAAGACAACAGATTTAAAGTCCGTTTAATTCGTTAATTTAAATTTTTAATTTGAGTTGAGATATGATTTTATGTAAAAAAAATTTATTGTAATAAAAAAATTAGAAGTGATTATTTTTTAAAGCTTTTTATTGTAATAAAAATTAAATTTTAAACTTAAATCGATAAAATAAATGAGATTTTAAACGCCTTAAATGGGTAAACTCATCAAAGCTTTAGGCCCGTTTAGTTCGTTGATTCGAGTTTTTAATTTGAGTTGAGATGTGATTTTATGTAAGAGGTTTTTACTATAATAAAAAAGTTAAATATGACTGTTTTTTATAACTTTTTACTACAATAAAATTTAAATTTTAAACTCAAATCGATAAAATAAATCTTTATCTTTTCTTATTCAAGTTGATGGAAAATTTTATAGCCAGAATGTAATCATTAGAAAAATAACGGCAATAAAAAGTCCCCTCCCATATATATATATATATATATATATATATATATATATTTTTCATGAAAACGCAGCTT